GAATCCGATCTAGACGAGACGAGACGCGCGCGCGGACACCCTACGCCGCAGCGGCGGCAGGGCGATCGACGGAACGGACGGACTCGCGGTCGGGGCCGCCTAGGGTTAGCCCCTGCCTCCTCGTCCCGGCGGCGGCGGCGGCGGCGGCGGATTTGGAGGGGAGAGGGGTGAGGAGTCAGGAGACGGGAGGTGGTGAGGAGGCGAGGAGGAGGAGGGATGTGGTGGTGGCTGGCGTCGGCACCGCTCTGCCCGCTGCCCCTTTTCTTATTTGTCGTCGCGTCGATTTGCGTTTCTTTCTTTTTCCCCCTTGTTTTTCTGCTTATAAGTTCGCGTGCAGCCCCACACCCCACCGAGCCGAGATCGACGCCTGCCGCGATTTGATTTAATCCGAACGCAAACCGCAGCCCTAACCTAAACCTAACCCGACCCCAAATCCAGGCCGGCCCGGTGTGAATTTACCAGGCTGCCCTCCGCCTATCATCCCGTCCCAAGGGCAAATACGTAATCGTGTTGCCCTTACGATCCTTAACCGGTAGGTCATGCAATACGGCACGTAATTTTACTACTAGTACTAGTAGTATAAAGTTGGTTAGCAGATTGAGCAAAGTCCATGAGGCGTACGGCTGCTTGACAGAAGCAGATTAGTCGGAGGTTAGCGTTTTAAGGAGGCGTACTGGACAGGAACTCCCCCTTTGACAGGGACCTGCTGCTTATGATGATGATAAAAGCGCACAGTTTGGGTGGGTTCCTGCCATCATCACGGTGGCGGCACTGTATTTTCAGTGTGCCCTGTGCCCCCCTGAATTTGATTCGCTGACTTTCGTGCCTTATTTTACTTTATATCCCAGTCTCAGCCTGGGGCTTTCATACATCAACTTTCGAATGCTTTGCTGGTTACAGAGGTAACCCTACGTGGCTTGGCTACATGTAACCTCTACCTGAAGAAACCACAATCCTGTGGGATCGCCGTGAAGCATCTTCAGAGTTCCGAAAGCTGCGATACAGGATTCTGGAAATGCCCAAGCGCTACTAGTGCCCTGCCCGCAGGCTCAACCACGCAGACGTGACACTGATCAGAGCACTTCCAGCCGGCTCTATGAAAAGCGCACCGGGCGCCATCAGCTGCCAGCTTGCTTCATTTCCAGATAACAACCACGTCACGTCGCTGCAACTTGCAACGGCCAAGACAGTGACATGGCACGGGAAGCCAGTCATCTCGATCCACATTCCAAGTCAACAACAAACAGTCACGGCACATAGCACCGCATAAGCAGTTGGGAGTCCAGCTAGACTCACTTCAGACCATACATCACAAACAGTTATTACAGATCAAGATCACCGGGTTGCATTCTCCTATCAGTACCAAACCATAACACGAATACATCGCTGTTCGTTCGGCAAACAGCAGAAAATGATGCCCAGAGGACCTGGCCAAGAATCTGTCTCGTCCGTCTATCGCTTCTTAAAACCGTATTTCTTGCGCTCATAGAAGAGGTCGGTCTTGGCGCTCCCCAGGTTCACGATCTTGGGGCACCCGTCGCGGTCCTTCTCCTGCTGCGTGCACTCCTTGCAGTAGTAGGCGTCCGAGATGCCGACCCCTCCGCAGATGACGCACCTCCCCTGGAACGAGCCGTAGTTGCACTCGTCGCAGACACGGACGAGGGTGCAGGGGCGCACGTACGAGTCGCAGATGACGCACTTGCCGTCGCACTTCTCACACAGGCGGCCGATGGCGATGCCGGGCTGCTTCCGGCACATGATGAGATCGGGGTGATGCTTCGCCATGGCTGTCGGATGCTGCTAACCTGTGAAAACCAGGTGCACGTTGCTTGTCAGAATCTAGTCATCTTAGGATGTCATCAAAAGAAATTAAATGGTAAAAGCATCCCTAAGAGAAACAGATTGGTTAATGCAGTTGACTGCAGCATTGGATGTAGCAGCTCAAGAAGCAAACTGCTAATGGTTGCACTCAAAGAAGAAATAAAGTGGTGAAGCATCCCAACAAAAGGCAAATTGTTAATTAGGTTACTAGAGCTTTTGATGTAGCATCTCGAGGAGAAGCAAGTTGTTGATGCACTTTATTTGTCGAACTTGCAACTGCTGGCAACTTACGTGTAATACCCCCACACCCACCCCCTCCCGGCATAGAAGCAAACAAGATAACATTACATTGAAATTATTTTTACAACTAGTAATTCATCAAGCTCTACATCATCAAGGTGACAAGAACAGATTGCCCTTATTATAAAGAAAAGGAAGTATACCACTAGAATGCTCAACATTGACAAAAATACAGTATGGTTTCAAATTCAACCCCATCCGTCCCAATGTCTTCATTTACTGTCATCAGGGTCCCTTCAAACATATCACAATGGGTATGACTGCAAATTCCATCCACCTTTTTCAATATATTCATTTAATGTCATTAGAGTCTCGCCAATCATACAAAACATTCCATCATAAAAGCACAAAGACATGTATGTTTCCTGCTTTCTACAGAAGCCACATCATAGCACACATTTTCACCAACTAGTAGAAATGTATGACAGCAGGAGAACTAAAAGCCCTGAATACCACCCCCACAATACACCCTTTAGGTTCAGAGAGATGTTTTCAATCTTAGATGTACAAAACTTGATGTTGGAAGCTGATCCGAAACATTTCCAACCAGATCAGTTAACTAGTTATGTGAAGTTTCTGGTTGACGAGTTGAAGTCACTAGGGGTGAAAAACTCTTATGCTATCACAAACACAACTATGGGGCCCCTACCACAACTACGAAAACAGATTGAATAGCTCCACTACCATAACTATATCCATATGTTCTGAAATTAATACAGATACCAAAAACTCTTAACTTCAACTATATCCAATACAGATTTGAAAGCTTTCAAAGATAATTAAATGCTGTATTTACTAAAGAAGTAAAAAACTGAATTCGAAGTGTATCTTATCAATTTGATAGGCAGAACATCCTATGGCTTTAACAGCATAATTCCAGTACAAACAAATTTATATATCATGAGCATGGCATTACTTTCCGCTGATAATATGAAAATTAACAACATAAAATTGTTCTAGGACACTAGTATTAACATAAATACAGCATACATATAGGAGATACTAGCGTATAGTATTAATAACTTCACTGATTGCTACTGCAGTTCCCACAAAACAAATTTTACATAGCAATGGTGTTCCAGCCTTCCAGATCAATAATGTAAGTGCAAATCAAATAACATGTATTCCAGTTCAGCCTCCTAGATCACTAGCCAACATGACATAAATGTATTATTACGTGGTAACAATTATAGCCCCCTACATCTCTCGCTAACGAAACCGAAGTTACAGATGACACCGCAGATTTCCCGTGGCAGTGTTTCAATTTGCGGCCATCCAAACCATCTGAAGCTTAGTGTACTGAATCTGGAGAACAGGACCCCTACTCGCCCGGTGCTTAGAGGGCTAGGGTTGGTGCAGAAGAACACGCCCCACCGCCAAGCTCCCGCGGCTGACCTAAGGGGCGACGCGAGGAACATGGACAAGCGTCGCAGCAGAAATCGCCGGAGCGGAGCAAAAAACCTAGGGAATGCATATGTTTCGAGCGGCGGGACGGGACCATGGATGACAGGAGAAGCTCTAGGGTTCGGCCTGCACGTACCTTCGGAAGGACGAGCTCGCTGCGGCGGCGCTCGCACCTTGGCTCCTTGCTCCCCGCAGGCGACGCGCCGAGACACCGAGACGACGTCGACGAGGCTGGCGGAATAGATTTTGGCGGCGGCGGCCCGATGCGACTAGAAGCTTGCAGATAAAAGACCAAGAGGTGTGCTACGATGGGGATCGCCGTCCATATCACCCGGCAGCCTGATCGGACGGCTACAAGTGGCCGGTGCGGTCCAGCATATTTGGCTCTACTGGGTTGGGTCCCACCTGTCGGCCTCTCAACACCTTTGGGTCCCCTGTTAAGCCGTTCTCCAGTGGCACCGCATCTTCCCCGAGCGCCACCGCCGCCGCCGCCGTTGAGCACCCGCCGCCGCAGGGATCCGCGCTGCGTCCCGAGCCAATCGCGCTCTACGGCGGAGAGGCGATGGATTCGGCAGGCGCCTCGAAGCCCGAGGAGGAGGTGGCCGCTTACCAGAGCAGCGAGGCCAATCAGGCGAGGCTGCAGTCCATGCTCGCGGCGCTCCTCGACGACCCCTTACTCGCCGACGTCCCGAGGAAGCCCTCGCTGGCGGACGTGGACACGCTCATCAACCTCGAGCTCGGCAGCGCCATGAGGGTGACCGTCCTCAAGCTGGACAACACCTCGTTCGGTACAATATGGCCCTCTTCGATCCCCGCCCACATTTTTGTCCAAATCCCTTGCCGTGCGTTTATCCCCCATATGAATTCGTGTTCCTCTTGTCGTTGTGGTGATACAGATGTCGCGGTGTTGAACACCGCTACGCTCAAGGATTTGAAGCTGGCTATCAGGAAGAAGATAACTGAGATAGAGCAGGGCCAGATGGGCCATCGTCACATCTCATGGTAAGTAATAGTCAGATTTATTTGTCTGAAACAGTGGAAGGATATCTTCTGACATCCATGTCATCTAATTGATTCATGCTAACATGTGTTGATCTAATTAGTTGATATCCTTCGAAATGCTGCCGATTTGTCTTTGCTATTTGATACTATATCCTATGATGGGCACTAAGGCACTGTTGATCCACCAAAATTTGCTAGTTTAGATGGGTGTGATTATCTAAATAAGCTGAGGGTCACAACTCACAAGATGTATGGTATTAACCTGAATTCTTAGTTAGCTCGAGATGTTGAGAATCCTAGCTGAAGTCGTGTTTTAGCTTGAGTTTGCACTGACCTACTTGGTATTGAATAACTGAATGTGTGTACATAAGGTTATTCAAGCCTGCTTTAATTAGATTTCCCTGTATTAGTGTCTTTCAGTTAAACTAAAGAGAACATAATGTTCCAATATTGACTTCTAGAAATAGTTTAAGCTCAGTATAGGAAGAAACTGCTGACTAAATTTGCCTTACGATTATCTCAGAGTGCATGAGCCTGGTATCTGTACACTGTTTACATCAACACCTACAAATTATTCAAGCCTGTTTGAATTAGATTTCCCTGTATTAGTGTCTTTCAGTTAAACTAAAGAGAACAGAATGTTCCAAGATTGACTTCTAGAAATAGTTTAAGCTCAGTATTGAAAGAAACTGCTGACTAAATTTGCCTTACGATTATCTCAGAGTGCATGAGCCTGTTATCTGCACACTGTTTACATCAACACCTACAAATTATCAAAAATTAAGACCCCATTTTCTGGACTCCAAACTTCTGCTATGTGGTTGTAAGCCCATCTAGGAGTACACTGTTTGCCAGGCAGATATGACAATAGCACTCTTGCAAACAACTCCTGGCATTGACAGTACACTTGATGCTCTTCAAAATGCTGCCAATGTATCTTTGATATTTAATCTCTCCCACGATGGTCAATCAGACACTCATGATCCATGATAGGTGTCATGATCCAAATAAGCTGAGGGTCACAAGATATATGAGACTGAACCGAATTCTGAATTACCTCGAGACATTCAGAATCCAAGCTGGAGCTCACTCTAATTTTTAGTTTGATTAAGCACTGAACTTGACCTGTTTGGTATTGACTAGCTGAATGTGTGTACACAAGGTTAGTCAAACCCATTCGAATTAAGGTCCCTATCTTAACTACTCCCTCCGTAAATAAATATAAGAGCGTTTAGATCACTAAAATAGTGATCTAAACGCTCTTATATTTCTTTACAGAGGGAGTAATCTATTTTAGTTAAGCTAAGGAGAATATAATGTTCGAAGATTGTCGTCTTAAAGTAGTATGAGCTCAACATAGAAAGAATTTTCTCTCTAAGATGTTACACTGGTATTCTATATTCTAAACTAGGATCCCATTTCCGTGACTCCATGAAGCTTCAGTCATGTGGTTATAAGTTTATCTAGGACAGTACATTGTTTGCCTGTCTGATATAACGAGAGCACTCACTGCAAAGAGTTCTTGGCATCAGTATTTGTTAATGCTAAATTGTCAGAAAGTGTTGTTAAAATAAACTGTATTTTTGGGAAGGCTCAACTAATTTATTGATGTGCAGACAGAACAATTACTAGATGCTGGGAAAGAAATACGAGCCCATATATGAGTTCTGTAATTAAAAAGCTTCAGCTGCATAATTGTAAAATTAGTTAGAGATCCTACCTTATTGATGTTAGCTATGGTTAATAATATGGCCTTCTAAGTTCCATCACAATGTTAGCTCTTCAGCTGTATAATAGCTGGCAGGCTTGTATAGAATTCCCCAAAAATGCCAACTTTGGTATCCATGTCTTCTTGCATTATGTGGTTCCAAAGCGTCAGGATTTATGTGGTTCTTAGCACAAATTGTATATCTAAGCTGCATCTGCAACATTTTCTGCATTTTTATCATCTGGCTCTACTATTTTATCCATCAATATAATTACTTTTTATCTATTTCTCTATTAAGAACTGACATGCTCCCTCCGTTTCAAAATAAGTGTCGTGGTTTTAGTTCAAACTAAAACCATGACACTTAATTTGAAACGGAGGGACTACTTTTTCATGGCATCTCTCAACCTTTTCTTTGTCAATATTTCCATTTGTTAAGGATACCAAGAATTTCCAAACTCCGCTGTAAGTATTTATGTTTGACCCAGGAAGCATATTTGGGAGAACTACTGCCTGACACATCAGAGTGAGAAGTTGATAGATGACAATTCTGCACTTTCTTCTTACGACATTCGAAATAATTCCAAGGTATATAAAAAATAACATATTTTTTTCATTTCAGTTTGAAAAAAGTCCATTTTACTACCCTGAATAAAGTGGGTGGTTCACTTTACCCCCTGATCTATTTTTCCGCTTCTTTTACCCCCCAAACAAACCCAAACCGGACAAAACACCCCCCGGCTGGTTTTTCTCCACCCGCTGCTGCTGATGTGGCACTAGTTAACGGCGGTTTTGACCTGGGTGGGGCCCCCTTGTCAGGTTTTTTTCTCTCTCTCTCTCTAATTGAGGCTGGGCCGGCGGCCACTCAGCCCGCACGCAGCCTCTGGCCAGGGCGTGGCGAGGCCGACCGGCTGGAGGAGTGGCGAGAGGGGGGGGTGAGCTGGGCGAAGCAGTCAAGGCCAGGCAGTGGCGGGCGCAGGCCGACGCAGTTAGGCACGGGCGGGTACTGGGGTGAGCGCGAGCGGAAGGGGAGGCTCAATGGGCGCAGCAGGGCCGCCGGAACGGGGCCACGAGGGCTGGTGCTGGAGCAGGGCTGCGCGGGCGGGGCGCTGCGGCAGTAGAGCAACGCAGGCGGCCCGGGCACATGCGAGGGAAGAGGAGTGCTGGGCAAGTTCAGCAAGCGCCAGCGCAGCCCCGAGCAGCAGCCGGCGCGGTCGTTCGAGAGCAGCGGCATGGGGAGGCGAGGCCATGGAAGGGCGCGAGCAGGTCGTGGTTGGCAATGGCGAGCGGCCGCAGCGGGAGTCAACAGCAGCGCTAGAGCAGAGTCGGCAGCGGCGCGACAGCGGTCAGTGACAGTAGTGGCAGCAGGCGGGCGCGGTGACATGCACGCGTGGGCGACGGAGAGGCATGGCCAGGGAGGGGTGTGGAGCCGAGCTCCCTGTCACCGCGGTCGTCGGGAGGAGGACCCACGCCTAGGCCGCGGCGGCCGCGGGGTCGCCGGAGGCGTGGCTGGCGTGGCGCAGCCACGAGTGGCGTGAGGCGGTGGAGTTCCACGCCGAGGTGCTCGGGCGGCACCTCGCCGACGGCCTCCTCGGGCCGTCCTCCTGCGCGGTCTGCCTCGGCGGGGCCCAGCAGGCGCTCGCGCTGCGGGAGCTCGGCGTGGCCGGGGCTGTCGCCGTCGCGAGGAGGCGCTCCCCGCCGCTCGCAGTCGCCTTCGGTTGGAGAGAGAGAGAAAGAGAGAGGGAAAAAAACCTGACAAGGGGGCCCCACCCAGGTCAAAACCGCTGTTGACTAGTGCCACATCAGCAGTGGGTGGAGAAAAACCAGCCGCGGGGGTGTTTAGTCCGGTTTGGGTTTGTTTGGGGGGTAAAAGAAGCGGAAAAATAGATCAGGGGGTAAAGTGAACCACACACTTTATTCAGGGTAGTAAAATGGACTTTTTTCTTTCAGTTTTCTGGAAGTTTTTACTATGCGTAGCAGCATATGAAACCTCTTTGGGGAACAACCAATCTCCTTATGGTACATGCATATTTAACTTTTTGGATGAAAAAAAATGTATATACTTCTTTCTTAAGTTGGCCTAGTGGAATCTGCATTACCAAATAAGATAGTTGACCTCAAATGCATCCACTTACAGAGATGGTGTTACTAGATCTGTCAGGTAGCAACTAAAGATGTATGAACTGAATAAAGTGTTGTGACTCTGTTTCTGCCCTCTGCCGTACTAGGTTTGTTTCTCACCGCACGTCATGTCGAGAGTACATCAGAAGCATTCTAGGAGAAGGAAACACCGTTTCTTCCACGGGCTTAGCAGGAAGATGTGATCCCACCTCATGATTTCTGATCAGGAGATACCCTTAGCGCCATGGGGGAGTGATTACTTGCGAAATGAAGAATGCTCCAAGATTTAGCTATGGCGACGAAACGGGGTAGAATTTCGCAGAAGCAACCCACCGATTCGCTGATGCCATTCAGGAGTTGCAGAAGATTGTGCGTGCTTGGGAAAAGCAGTTACTAGTACGTAGTGCACGAGCACGTCAGCTAATGGGTGTTGTAAATTCGAAGCTACTGGTCTGGTCGTGTAATTTGCCAGTGGGAAGTGCGCTTCACAATATGTAATGCACTTCAGGTTAACAATCTGCAGGCTTTTGCAGGTCCTAGCTCTGGTAAACTACTGCTGCTTCATTTTTCGTCGAGAGGATCAAGTCTTAGATGGTGTTTGGTTCTCTGGTCCTAGGACTTTTTCTAGTCCCAACTAAAAAGTCTCTAGTCCCTAAAAAGTCCCTTCCTGTTTGTTTTTAGAGACTAAAAAGTCTCTAATCCCTTCCTAGAGTTTATTAAATGACCATATTGTCCCTAGTATATAGAAAAATAACAATCAAACAACATCATAGGATAGCGCGTTAATGGGTGCATGTAGGGGCATTGTTGAAAAAGTCCCAAAAAAGAGAGTCTTCTTCATTTAGTACCAAATGCCTAGTTTAGTTCTTAAAAAGTCCCTCCCGTTTGGTAAAAAAGTTTTTAAGAGAGACTTTTTCTAGTCCCTACATAAAAAAGTCCCTAGAAACAAACACCCCCTTACTCCGCTCGTTTTTACTCAAGCCATGCCCATGGCGCATAGTAATTGCAGCCCTTAGTGTTCTACACCTGCCAATTAAGCAAAAAAAATACATCATGCAAACATGACAATGGTTAAAAAAACATGGTTGGAAAGATCAAAATTTCAAGCCATGTGCCCAAAACCAACAGACCAGCCTGACCCAAGTCAGGACCAAAATGTGTTGACTGGAAACTGATTCTTTTCTTGGAACCGACATTCCCCCAGCAACTCAACCGGTGTGGTCCCAGGGCACGCACACAGCCACACACATCGCCGTACCTGAAACGCTGAAATGATAAAACTGCATGCATGACTGTAATGGGCATATATAGACAGAGAAAAGTATGCCCCAGCCCACAGTAGAGAAATTTCAAGAGGTGATCAGACAGGAGGATAGCTTTTTCCTCTCGGAATCTGGAAGGGCACCAAAGGGAGAGACAAGGTTGACACCAATGGTGCCACCTCCTCCTGTGACAAGCGCGCTACTACTCACACACACGCTTTGGACTTTGGCTACAACCAAGTAAGCGCAAACAAACAGTAGCAAACTCACCACACACACACACACTGGTTGCTGCACCATGCACTGCCCATTGCATTTGTCATGCGGTGCAGGGTGCACTACCAGTTCGAGGCTTAGGGACCACACTACCATCGAACCCTACAAGTTCCAGACATGGACATGCTTCCACATATGCTTCTAACTGTAAGTAACTAGTGGTACTAGCTAGTAGATGGATAGATAGATAGGATCATGCATAGGACAATGACGGGAGCACTAGGCTCTCACATGTAAGGGGCGCGGAGAGTGAGCTCCGGGGAGGTGCCGGCGTCCTGGATGGGCATCATCATCATCATCTGCTGCTGGTTGCCGCTGCTGTTGTAAAAGCTGTGCTGCTGCTCGTGCTGTTCTTGCAGCAGCTGATGATGGACGACTGCCATGGCGTTGGCGTTGCTGGCGGCGGCAGCTTCCCACCACTGCGAGCTGTTGGGCTGGAGATGGTAGCTGCTGCCGTTGAAGTCGTCGGCGCTTTCTTGCCGGCCTCCGCCGGTCGGGAAGAGCGGGAGCTCCCGCGGCGGGGGCATTGGCGGCGTCTGGTTGGTGGAGAAAGGGAAGCTCGCAGCTGGCCACGGCGTAGGTGCTGCTGCGGCGGCGCCGCCGTGGTTGCCCGCTCCCGCCGTGCTCCTCGCGCCCATGTAGTCCTGCCGTGCGTCGATCCAACAGGCCAGATGTACATTAGCTGATTACCATGCATGCATGTGCAAATTAAAATTCGATCTACCGATCGATCGCAATGTGGCAGTGCGTGTGTGTGTAAATCCAGCTTGATTGGTTACCTGCAGGGTGCTGTCTCCCCAGCAAGTAGTAGTAGTGGCGCTCGCATCTGGATGGACAGCCGCGCCTCTACCGGCGCAGCTGCCGGCGCCGTACAAGCCGGCCGCCGCACCTGCACGCACGTCGCGAGTGTTGTTATAGTTGGGACTCGAGGCAAAGCGACGCGAGACAAGAATCAGGTCAAGTGCAGCGCGCGCGCGCGAGAGAGAGAGAGAGAGGACGTGATGTGCGAGTAAGTACCGGAGGGGGAGAGGGCGAGGACGTCGGCGGCGGTGGCGGTGGCGAGGGGGGAGCCGTTGACGTCGACGCCGAGGCGCTTCTTCTGGCGCTCGCGGGCCTTGTGGTTCTGGAACCAGTAGAAGACGTTCTTGCCCTCGATCCGGCCGTACTGCCGGAGCCGGGCCGCGATCCGCTGGATCTGCTCCGCCGTGGGCGACCGGATGCCGCAGTCGTAGTAGAGGTCCTTGAGGATCTTGACCTGCTCCGGCGTGGGCGTCCACCGCGCGCCGCTCGGCCGGACGGGCGCGGTCGTCGTCGTCGCACCAGCACCGGCAGCAGCGACGGCATTGCCACCCGCCGCGCCGCTGGCCTGGTGGTGCTGGTGCTGCAGCTGTCTCCACATGACGCTCTGCTTGTCCATGGCAGCAAGAAGAAGGCAGGTGGTGCTGTTGCTAGCCTGCTGCTACTAGTACCGCTGTGATGACGATCGGTGGGAAGAAGGAGGAGGGCGATGGGTGCTGGAAGGAGGGAGAGGGGCGTGGGAGGATCACGTGAGAGGTCGGGTATATATGGTGCCATGGCGCCATGCATGGAGGTAGCACAGCTGCGCCTGCTGAGCTGAGCTAGGTATAGGAGGCTAGGAGGGGAGCTAGCTAGGAGGAATAGGAGTGTAGGTAGGGGTGATATAGGTTGGGGCCGGCTTGGTTTGGTTCCCCGAGAGAGGAAGGGGGAGAGGGGATCATGGTGATATCTTTTGGAGAGGGACAAGTGAAGTTGACACACGTACGGGGGGCATGTCATGTGGGGACGATGGGGTATGGAGCGCAGACGCCCCCGCATATGGCAACTGCTTCCTCCTCGCCTACCTCTCTCATTCTCTCTTCTACTCTCTCTCTCTCTCACACACAGTCGATACACACAGAGAGAGAGAGGGAGGGCATCGACCGATATGATCAATGGCGCATTGTGCGTGTTCATACAAGCAAGCATGGGCCGATCGAGTTCGAGTTTTGCATGTAGTACTTGTAGTATTTTTTGTTTTGGGGGGACAGGCCAGAATAAGTGTGATGGATGGATGTGAGCGTTGATGTGTGCGCGGGTTCCTTGTCTGCCGCTTTCAATTTTGCTGGTGTTTGTTCTGGCCGTCTTGACTGCCTGGCTGAACCAAAGGGTTTCCATCCATCGATCGGTCGGTGTCGTTCGTCGTCTGGATTGAGAAAAGGGTTGAGATCAGTCAGTCACAGAGAAAGAATTCATGACTACATGGTTACCCTCGATCAGGGTTAGGCCCCCTCTTCGCCGTTGTCCACCATATCAAGGATCGGCTACATGGTCACCTTTCAGCTGCTGACTCCCAACACCCTGAAGGTGGTCGTCTTCAACGATGACGGCATTGAAGTGGTGACTAAGTGCAAGAAGCATGGAGACACCTTCGTCGTGAACGTCTAGAAGAGCTCTCTGTTGCGCGTGTTGGTTTAGTTTTTCTTTTTACAAAAAGGATCAGATCTATTATAAAAATTCATTGGAAATACAAAACACATAAAAGATAATAAAAATTACATCGAGGTCCATGGACCATCGAACGACCATTGTTGCTGCCAGAATGAGCCATGCACGCGCCCCTATCGCCGCTCCCATACTAGAGCCGGCCTGACTTTATTGTTGACACCCGGGAAGTCTTTGTGCACGTGCTCCTAAGGACTAGCGCCCCGGAACCGTAGTCGTCGTCGTTGAACCCTTGAGTAGATCTGACGAACCTGATGCCAAATATTGCCGTTGCGTACACACGACGAGAAACCCTAACATCGCCGCCCCGAGGAGCTGGCAGGAATATACGACGGAGCTCCGTCTAATCCGTCTCAGCAGACGAACTTGAGGAGGATCAAAGCCCGTAAGACCAACTCAAAGAAGAAGTGCCGCCACCCGACCAAACGCCTCCCCTGTAAGGACTAAAACCCTACATGTCTACTAGCTGGATCTGAGGCACCAAAAATCTCCTCCCGGCCACCGGCCGTCGAAGCGGTAGGTGGAGGAAAGCGAATCCACGGGCTCACCGGTGGAGATCGAGAGAAAGAAGGCTTTCTCTAGTCGTTTTGTGAGAGGGGAAAGAAAAGCTCTATCTTTATGGCTTCTAGAGATGCTACATAGCTTGCTGGTTTGGTTTCCTTTAAGACTATGTCGTACTGGTTTGGTTGAAAGCTACTTGTTTAAGTGTCATATATACTATGTTGAAATCTGCTTGGTTTGGTTTAAGATTATGTATTTGGTTTGTTCTACCTGCTAGTGTGCTGGTAACCTCGTGCCATCATGCCATCGTGGCTACAGTACGCGAGAGGATATTCTTTTTTTGAATGAAAAGCGTGTAGCTAGGGATCTTGTGCCGTGATTGATTCGTGGAAAAGTAGGAGTACGTCCGTGGCCTGTAGCATCGAACGAACCGAGCGGGCGGGCGGGCGCGCGAGTACACCTTTTCCGGTACCGATGCATGCGCGCGCGCCTACGTACGGTGTCGTTCACTGTAGCGCACGAGAGTGAGCCACCACCACTACGGTTTCTGTGCATGCATTCATTCATCGTGGCAGAAACCAAAATTAACGCCTGCTATTTCGTCTTTGATTTACTATGGGGTGTTTGTTTGCAGAGACTTTTTTGTGTATGAACTAGAAAAA